TTTCTGTGTCTCTCATGAATGAGTAAATAAAATTTAAAAAGAAATGAGAGGGTAGGGGAAAGTATAAGCAGCTGGTTTTGCTCCTTATGAGCCTCCTTATCCTCTTCAGCTTTGACAGACTCAGATCTCATCTCATTCTAGCATAAAACTGCTAATGAACTGAGACATCCTCTGTAAGTAGATGAAAGCTGTGTTCCCCACTGGCAATTTATACTTGGTCATATGATACAAATGGTGATATGATTTAGAGGCAGTGTACTAGTGTGTTTCTTTGTATAAATGTGATTCTACATTTCGTGTTATTTAAAAAAAAAAACACGTTTAACCTATGTTAGAGAATGAAGTTGAATGAGTGAAGATGTGATTCACCCCATATGCATAATAAGACCAGTACAACATGTTGGTGCCTACAAAATGCCCAGTACTACTAGGTATGATATATACACTATCTAACTGAGCTTGAGGAATCTATCTCCAGAAACAATTTAAATGTACCATTTACTGTGAAATTGTATGTGGCCCTTTCCTTAACAAACTTATATTCAATTTATTTAGCCCTATCTCATCACAGGAGAAAAAAAGTAGTAATAATGACAGAAATTTATAGACACTTTTCTGATGAGAGATACAATTTCAGTGAGTTTTCCATTATTTACTCTGATTCAGATTTCTTTTTTTTTTTTATGACAAGATTTTATTTATTTATTCATGAGAGACACAGAGAGAGGCAGAGACACAGGCAGAGGGAGAAGCAGGCTCCATGCAGGGAGCACAATGTGGGGACTTCCGGGTCTCCAGGATCACACCCACACCCGGCTGAGGGCAGGGCTAAACAGCTGAGCCACCGGGCTGCCCTGATTCAGTTTTCTTTCTGAATTTTTAAATCTATTTTTTCTACCCTATTTACTGATTAGCTCATAACCTCTTTTCTCTCCTGTCATCCAGCAGCGTTGTTTTTTTGTTTTGTTTTGTTTTGTTTTGTTTTTGCCACACAAAAGGGTTGACTGCTTTCCCTAAGTCTCAAATCAGAAACATAAAAGTTAAATAAAAATGATTTGGATACTGAAGAGTTTTTTCCTACATTGAAGTATGAGACTTTGCTGTGAGATCACTGACAAGTTATCCATAATCTTGTAAGTATGCTCTTTACTCATTGCCTAAGTAAATTTCATTTAATTAAAACTTCCATCTTGTTAAATATTATTGCAGATTTCAATTCCCCAGATGGGTTGAAGGCCCAATGAAGTTCTTTTCTTATTGCTTAGGGATTACTTTTATATTCCATAGTTAGGTGGTCAGGAATTTTAAATATTTATATGAAAGCCATGGTCCAAACTTTTTAACCTAGGATTGATTCAACAAACATTTATTGAGCACCCCTTATATCAGGCACCCAGTTAGGGGAGTGAGCAAAACAGTTCCTGTTCCTGTGCCTGCCCTTACAGACATTACAGCCGATTTAGATGTAACAGACATTGAACAAAAAGAATTACAAACAAAAAATGCTATGAAGAAGGGAAGGGTGCTGGGGGAATATGTAATAAATGTAGCTAATCCAGCCTGATTGGGGGTGAGGGTGGGTAGAGGTGATTTTTCCAAAGAATTTCAAATTTAGGTTTGAAGCATGAGAAGGGGGAAGATTGGTCCAGGAGAAATAAGGGAACAGTTTGTGTAAAGACTTTGGGTAGAAAAGAATGCTACTCTACTAAAGAACCTAAGAGGTCAGTGCGGCAAGAGTGGTGATGCCAGGAAATGTCAGATAAGAGGCAGGCAAGGATCAAATCACATAGGCCATCTTAAGGATTAGGAACTTTATTCTAAGAGAATGAAAAATCAGTGGAGAATTTAAGCCAGGAAATAAAAGTTTTGTTTTTTCTTTAAAGATTTTATTTATTTATTCGAGAGAGAGAGAGAGAGAGAGAGAGAGAGAGAGAGAGAGAGAGAGGCAGAGGGAGAAACAGCTTCCTGTGGGAAGCTTGATGCAGGACTGGATCCCAGGACCCTGGGATCACAACCTGAGCCAAAGGCAGATGCTCAACCACTGAGCCACCCAGGTGCTCCGGAAATAAAAGTTTTTAAAAAGCTTACTATGACTAAAATGCAGAGTACAAAAATATATTAATTTACCATTTAATTTGTTCTGGAATGTGCTCTTATCTCTAGTAATTTAATGATACTAAGAATTTTTATTAATATGGGACAAACTCTAAATTTCTGGTCTGTGGAAAAGATCCTAGAATAGTTAAGCAAAGCAGAAGAGTCCTTGGGTATGTATCCTTAGTACGTCTTCAAGTGACAAACCTATATCCTGAGTTTCTCTGCTTTACATCTATATCATATCTTAACTTGAATTGCAAATAGAGGTGGTAAGATAATAAGATAGGGAGAGAAGAAGGTCTGTATGTGGGTATGTGTTCATTTGTGGTTTCCCAGGGTTTTGAAGAAGATTAAATGACAAAGAATATACCACATTCTCTGTTCTCAAAAATATAGTTTATCCTAGAGAAATTAGGAAAGTACAGACAATAAAATATTAAGATTTCTTTTCTTTTAGTTGGGTATTTTAAGAAAAAAAATGGCAGCTTCTGGATAATACAACAGATTTTTACATGAAACACATTAATTTCACAACTAGGGACATCAAGATGGCTTCAGAAACATTGTACTTGGAGTAATACAGAGTTCCATGAACACTAAGGCCCTTGGACCACAGAGACTATAAGCAGCTAACATTTTAATTTTAATACTCTCCCATTTTTCCTATGAGCATTTCTTGTCTTCTCCAGATGGTCTGTGTCTATTAAATTAGCAGATAAGATTTTAAGATGTTTTTTCCCAGGGATTGGGAATTGGGAGAAATTCTTGAAGATTAATAAAGTTTCCCTCAGTGAATATTAGAATGGAGGAGGAGAACGAGCTCTGACTACCATTCTCTGTTACCTCACTGCCTCTCAAACCACAAATTTCTTCTCTAGGATTTTGGGCTGCAAGGCTTCCTTTTAGGCTCAGTGACTCCTTCTTAGGAATGAGTGAATAATATATATACTTGGCAAACTGTTTGAGAAAGGCTGCTGACCCTTGGTCTAAGAAATCTTGAGCAATAGGAGATCTGAGTTTAAATGTCAGTTTATATCTGACTCACTATTTGAAAAGAATGAATCATTTCTTTTTGATTGAATCACTTAGCTCCATGGTCTGAGGTGTGGTACTGAAGATAGCAGGGATTAGCTTCACAAACATTGTATACTTGAATGCTACAGTTGATAAATCATTCTATTCGTCAAAATAGAAACACATTTATTAAGTACCTAATTGTGTACATGATTTGGAAACATTCAGAATATGTAGGCTAAATATTAAAATAAATTAGTGCTCATTATAGTTTCATGGGTCGGGTGAGATGTCTGTTATTATAAAAAAGGGAGGAGGCTTGCTATGCATTAATTACCAGGTTACTGAAGCTCTGGGTAAATTTGGTAGGAAGGTTAAGAGTAGCTTCCTAGCAAGTACTTGGTGTCTGGTTGAAAACTGGACACTGTTTACTTGGGCCAAAATGCAGTTATATTAGGCTATTTTTAATGACAAACAGTTACTTAAAAATTTCAACCCTCCAGAATCGGACTCACAACATCCTGATATTGTATTCTTTTTGTTGTTGTTGTTAATTTGACAGAGAGAGAGAGAGAAAGAGCATGCAAGCACAATCAGAGGGAGTGGCAGAGGGAGCAGCAGATTCTCCACTAAGCAGGTGCGGGGCTTGATCCTAGGACCCTGGTATCATGACCTGAACCAAAGACAGGCACTTAACCAACTGAGCCACTGAAGTGCCCCTTGATATTGTAGTCTTTTCTATGATCAGAGAGGAAATCTTTTAGCACTGAATAAGAATAGATTTTGGGGGATGCCTGGGTGGCTCAGGGGTTGAGCGCCTGCCTTCTGCCCAGGGTGTGGTCCTGGAGCCCTGGGATCGAGTCCCATGTCGGGCTCCCTGCATGGAGCCTACTTCTCCCTCTGCCTGTGTCTCTGCCTTTCTCTCTCTCTCTCTGTGACTATCATAAATACATAAAAATTAAAAAAAAATAAAAATAAAAAAAATGAATAGATTTGGGTGCATGGTCAGACCTATGAATATTACAAAGAGTAGATAAGCTACAATTTAAAAACAATAATAGCTTGATATAAAAAGAATAAGAGGGCAAAAAGAAAATTAACATTTGTCAAGTGCCAGCATTATATGTCCGTTATACTCAGTCACCTATATCATCAATAAAGTTCACAGAAATCTTGTAATAGGTAATGTTTTCATTTTGGTCAAGGAAGAAACTAAAGGGGACACCTGGGTGGCTCAGTGGTTGAGCGCCTGCTTTTGGCTCGGGGCGTGATCCCAGAGTCCCAAGATTGAGTCCCACATTGGGTTCCCTCCATGGAGCCTGCTTCTCCCTCTGCCTGTGTCTCTGCTTCTCTCTGTGTGTCTCTCATGAATAAATAAATAAAATCTTAAAAAAAAAAAAAGGGAAGAAACTGAGGGTTAGAGACTAGGAGGGCAGAGGTGGAATGCACATTCAGGACTGCTAGCTTATGATCTTTCCACAAAATCATTTAGGCACAAACAAAAAACCCTTAAAATCAGGTAGGAATAGACAAAGTAAGTTTTTCTTTAATTTCTTTCGGTTTAGATGTAATGTGTATCTGCGGGGAAAAAAGTGAATAAACTCTATTGCATAAAGATACTTGTACTCTATAAGTCTTTTGATGGGGGCAGTAGAAAGAGGTGAGACTGGAAAATGTACTTTAAGCAATATGTAAATTCTAGGTCATAATTTTTCTGAGGTTATTGATTTTCAAAAGTTATTTTCAAGATGAGCATTGATATTATTATTCTATCCAGTTTGTGGGGACATCGTAAGGCTACTGAAGAACTGCATAACATTCTTAGGAAAGCTGCTATAAAATATAAAGATTATTTATATTTCTGTGTACCCCAAGTACTTTGTTCTTACCTTAATTACAGCACCCACCATACTGCACTCTTATCACTTCTCCACTCTCTGCTATGTCTACCAGAAGGTGGATTTCTCCAAGGCAGGGACCCCAGGACCCTTTTTCACCATGGTGTCCATAGTAAACTGAACAGGGCCTGAAATATAATAAATGCTCAGTAAATGTCTAGAGAAAAAAGAAAAGGATTAGTCTTTTAAAAAAAAGATTTTATTCACTTATTTGAGATAGAGAATGAAAGCAAGACAGAGAGATAGAGAAAGAGCTAGGGGAGAGAGGGAGGGAGGGGGAGAGAGAGAGAGAGAGAGAGAGAACCAGTGAGGGGGAGGGGCAGAGAGAGAGGGAGCAGCAGGATTTCTGCTGAGCAGAGAGCCCAAACACTGGGCTCGCTTTCAGGACCCCGGGATCATGACCTGAACCAAAGACAGACACTTAACCAACTGAGCCACCCAGGTGCCCCCGGGATTCATCTTTCTGATCCCAGCTCCCTTATTCCTGAAATGAGCAGATAGTAATATTCTCCTAGATCCCTTGGCAGGGGTGTCATGATGTGCGCTCAAATACTGTTTATTGGCGACATAAGCCAGACATAAAAGATGTTTTTGGGGGGATCACTAAGGGAATCATTATTTTACCCAACAGAATTTTTATTCTGGCTAAAGTCTTTTTTTTTTTTTTTGTTAAGACCTGACCAACACATTTCCGGAAGGAGATGTAGGGTATGTTAGGGGCCATGCGCTAGTCCTCTCCATCCTTGGGCTCCAGAGTTGAAGGAAAAGCAGCACCTGCAGCGGAGCTGCGAGCCCTCTCTCACTAGGTGGCTCTCTTTCCCCCGAGGGGGCGCAGCCCGGGATGGCGGGCCCAGCTGCACACTCAGCAGCGCAGGGCAGGGCATAGTTCACTCGCTGTTTCGTTAATGATCATCTGTCCTTGGGAACGTATTTCCTCCAGGCGCGTGTCTGTGCGCGATGTTTCAGAAAGACACTGGTCTAATCTTGTAATAGGTGCGGTCACGGGGAAGGATCCCGAAGGTCTGGAAGGCAGCAGCAGTCAGTGACCCAAACTCCGCGCAGACCGAAACAGCCGGTAAAACCCCGACGTTACCCACTGGGGGCCGCCCGGGGAGGCTCCACAGCCGCACACCCGCAGGCGCCTGGCAAAGCTGCCTAGGGGCGCCCCGGGACGCACTAAAGACACGACTCGGCAACCACCCAGGACGTCCTTCAAAGCATCAGGATCCACAGCATTATTGACCACCCCCCCCTCCATTCTTCATTTCTGGTTGTTAGCCCCAAATCTGATACCAAATGCAAGTAACAGACTTTCAAAAGGATTTTTGAAAGATCGATGCCTTTCCTGGGAAGCTCGCGCCAGGCAGGGCCCAGGGTCTCCTGGACCCGGCGGATACGGAGCGTGCAGGGCGGGGGGGGGGGCCTCCCCCGACCCCGCCGGCGGCGTCTCCCCGCGTCCCGGGCTCTCCCGCCGGGAACCCCCGGGCCGAGTCCTCCGGGACGCGCTCGCCCACTCGCTCCGGCCTCCCCGCAGCGGGCGCGCGGGCTGCGGCGCGGGCGGCTCGGCAAGGGCGGCCCCCGCCCGGCAGCACCGGAACGCGGGCCGTCGGGGGCCGCTGTGCCCCCTCAGGGCCCCCGGCCGGCCCGGCCGCCCCCCCCCCCGCGGCGCCCGCCGCCGTCCCGGGGAAGCCCCTCGCCCGCCCGGCCGCCCGCCTTCAGCCCGGGCCTCTCCACGCCGCGCACGGGGGGGAGAGGACGCCGGGGGTGGTTCCCGCCCGCAGGCGGGTGGAGAAGCCCGCGGCGAACGCCTCGGGGTCCCTCCCCCCGCCCCCATTGTTGCGGGAAGGGGAAAGGGAAGAGGAAGTGAACTTCACCGCCCGGGAGATCACCCGGATTCCTGACCTGGGGGAGGCTTTCGGGCGGAAGGGAAGCCAAGGGGGAACCCCGGGCACTTTCCCGGGAATCCATTCGCCCCGGGAGGGTCACCCAGTCCGCACACACTGGTTACTATGACAATACAACCACAGCCTCCAGTTGCCATGGCAGCTGTTGACCCAATCCGACTGGTTTCCTTTCTCTTCCTCCCCGGGCTCCACCCCACCCCCTTCAACAGTCTCCAGGCGTGCAGGGGGAGGGGCCCCCAGCGGGGGAGGGGGTCCCGAGCGTCTCTCTCTGCGGCGCGAGGGGAGACTAGAGTGGAGGGACTGGCGGGCGGAACTGTAGGAGGGAGGGACAGCGTTTCCGGTAGGGAAGAGTGGAGGAGCGGAAAAAGGAAGCGAGGAATCGGGTGGAGTGGAAAGACGGGGGAAGACTTTGAGTGTGACTCCCGGGTGATTTGGGCTCGCTGTGCCCGGCGAGGCCGGGGTTGCCCCCTCGCGCGGGAGAGGGCTGGACCGGCCGGAAGCCGCCAAGCGCCTCCGGCAGGCCGCTCAGCCGCCGAGCAGGGGCCTCACGGCTAGCCGATCCCCAGAGGCCGCGCCACAGAGCAGCAGAAGTCCCCGGGAGGGCCGGGCGCCGCTGAAATCTCGCGAGAGGGACCCCCACTTCCGTCCTCGGCTTCTCCCCCCTCTTTCCCCCCGCCCCCTTCCCTTCTCCCTCCCCCTCCCCCCTCCCGGGTCGGAGTGTCCCTGCGCCCCACGGGCCGGAGCAGCAGCGAGAGCAGCTTTCCCCGCTCCCTCCCCCTCGCCTCACTCACCGCCACCCCCCCGCCGAGCGAGGAGGAGCCGGAGGAGAGGAAGATGGCGGCGGCCGCCAGCACCCGCGGTGCCGCGGGGCCGCTTCGAGGAGCCTGAGAGACCCACAGAGGCTTCGCGGGAAGACGCGGCGGCGGAGGATGAGCCTGCAGAGCGCGCAGTATCTCCGGTGAGTGCAGAGGCCGGCCCCGGACGCGGGGGGAGCAGGTCGAGGGTCGGGGCACGGAGCAACAGACGCGGCGGCGGGGACGGCGGGGCGGCGGGGCGGCGGGGCGGCGGGGAGTTGCTGTGTCCTCTCCTTCCCCGGCGGGGAGGCGGGGGCTGCGAGGGGCTCCGCGGGAGGGGGCGGGGCGGGCACACTCCCGAGTGCCCGGCGCCCCGTGGGCCCGGCGGAGTTCCGGCGCGGCCAGCTCGTCCGGGTGCCGGGAAGGAGGTTAGGGAAGCGTGAGAATGTGTGTGCGCGCGCGCCCCCCGGGGTCGCAGGCTCGCTGGGGGGTGGGGCGGGGGCGGGGGCGGGGGCCGCGACCCCGAGTGGGGGTGGGGGGAGCGTGGGGTGGGGTGGGGCGGCGCGTGGGGCGAGGACGAGGTGGAAGTCTGCACGCCTGGTGGGGGGTGGGGTGGGGGGAGACCGCTGGAAACCCCAGTCGAGTCTTTATTCTTAGGTTGAAAGTGCTGAGGAATAATGTCATCTGTAGTTAGTTGGCGGGGTGGAGGTGAGGGCATAAAGACGGGTAATGGACGAGGAAGTGAGGAAAGAGGGAGGTACTACGGACGGTGTTGTTGGGTTCCCCAGAAGAAACTGAGTTAGGATTAGCGTAGTCGGAAGATACCATTCTGAGAGTCGAGTGGTGTAAGGAACTTGGGTGTCGGAGGTGAGTGACGCACGGGTACCGAGCGTGTGGCTATGGGATGTGGGTCTGGGGCGGTGTAAAGGCTGGAGCGCCTGACCAGCATTTTAGGAACGGGCAGATTAGGTACATTGGGACCAGGTACGTGGTGGTGAGGGCGTACTGAAAGGAAAGACACCAGCCAGCGATTGTGCAGCCAGGAAGGTTCCATGGAAGCAGAATGAGAGTACACGTGTAAGAGGGTCAAGAATCTTGATGTCGGACAACTAAAAGGTTGTTAGAGCCCAAGGTTAATTCGGGAGAAGTGCTACTTCTTAGAAAAAGGGGGAGGAAGATCTTAAAACGGACCCTTTTTGTCTTTCAGGAGCAGAACTAAGGCAGGCTTATGGGAAGATCTTTAAAACAATGGTTTCATACCTTGTAGAGGAGGGAGTTGAATGGGGTGTAGAAGTCTGAAATGCGCACAGAAGCCACTTTAGCTGTGTAGTGAAGTCAAAAGTATTGATGTGTGTGATTGGCATAATCTATATGCATATTGCAAGAGAAGGTAAGTAGTAAGTGTACAGGAGGGTGGCCGTTCTACTTAGGAAAGGAGTAATAGTTGCCTTAAGCAAAGAGTGGAAAAGGGAGAATGATCAGATCTTTGGATTACACTTGAATGCCTGAGTTTAACAGTGACAGGATCCACACAACACGTGTGGCCAATGACCTTAGGGTAGTTGGAATGCTGTCTTTCTGTCACAGTCCTTTTTCTTCACTATTATCCTTTTGTTGTTTAGCATATCAGGTGAACTTAATGAATATAACTGTGGGAAACGTCTATGGTAGATGTTGTAGAGGGGGGATATGGGAGCCGTCAGGACAGTACTTGATTTTAAGGAATTTGCAGTTTAGCGTATTAGGCAAGTAAATTAATAATAGCACAGAGCAAAATATGGCAGGTGTCAAAAAGACGCCAAGGGTCACGAGAGTCCAAAGGCAGGAGATTACCTGAGCAGTTGGGGGGTTGGGGAGTCAGGAAAAGCTTCCTTTGTTCATTTGTTCGTTCATACACTCATGATTCATCAGTCATTTTGTTGATCACCTATATGGGAGGCATTGTCCCAACTGCTGAGAATAGAAAAGAACTCCACCCTCTCCTTACAGTTTATAGTTTGTTAGGTTTCAAGGAGAGAATGGCACTTAAACCATTTTAAGTTACCTGAAGGATAAGTATAATTCTGACAGTTGTGGATTGAGAATGGGGAATCCAAATGGAAGGAAACTGAACAGAGATATGAAGATAGGAAGGCCAGGGAAGGTGTTTAGTCTAGTTAAACAATATAGGGTGATGCACCTGGAAAAACTTAAATACATTTTTTTTTTTTTATAGATGAAGTGTGACCCCTTCATTTTACACATGAGGGAAGTATAGCACAATGAAGGAAAAATTGTTGAGGACCATATAGCTGGTACATGGAAGCTCTGTAACTCAAATGTAGGTCTTCCAACTCCGTATCAGCCATAACTGTGGGACATGTGTGGGCTCATCCATTCCTTCCACAAATATGTATTGAGAGCTAACTGTATGTCACTTACTCTTCTAGGCACTGAGGGTAGAATGGCGAACAAAAGAATAAACATAGGAAGGTATATTCTAGTATAATTATGCAATCAATAAACATATGAACTGATAACCGTGTTTGTCAGGTGGTGACAAGAACTAGGAGGAAAAAGCAAGATATGGTTATCTTGTTTTATGTAGACATGGTGATCAAGGAAGACCTATTAGATCGGGTGCCCCATATTTGAGAGTCTTGAATCATGATCTGTAGTTTATAGTTAAAATGGATGAGCAATGAAGAATCTGAGATAATTTGTTAGAAGAGCATTCTCGTGTTCATAGGCAGTAGGGAGATGAATCTACGAAATGCGATAATGAGCAGTTAGGACTAGAGATAGTGGAATAGAAAGGTATGAAAAGCAGACTGGGAGAGGTGATAATTTTAATGGGAAGATTGGTTGGCTTTGAGAGGCTTCTTTGTTAATCTGTTTTATATTTCGCGAATCATCATGGTATTTAGGGAAGACTTATCCGTAGGTTGTGAAATCATTGGTAGTCCACTTGAGGTGATTTGAGTTCTTTGAAGAGGGAGAAAAGAGTAAGAATGAAACCATGTTTAAATAACTTATATTTTCCAGCTAAAGTTGAGTAAGCAAAAGTGAACAGGCATAGGACCTGGAGTCTCTTAAGGATTCCTGAGAGCCAGTCGATGTAAATAAAGCAAGTCTTAGGGCTGGGACTTAGAGGGGAAGGGGTAATAAAGACTTGCATCAACCCCAATTTCCCTTTTCCTCTTCAGATAATCATTGCATTTAAAGTCTGCTGTGAGGAGGCTAGAGAATGTCTTCAGGGAAGCCTCATGTTCATTTTCTTTTCTTTGTGGAAACCAAATCTTTGGTTTTTAGACAACTTGGGAAGGATGCTAGGTATTGCTGAACAAGTGTGGTTGGGGTAATAGCAATTATTCTTTGTGACCTTGACTTTAGGGAGAGTTTTGTTGCCTACCTTTCTCCGTGGTGTAAGACCATGACTGAGCAATTTTTAAGCTGCATAGCCACAGATCTTGTGTAGATGAAAATTAGCTTTGTACCAGCTGAATTAATTTGTTGGAGTAAATGAGCTGGGGTGTCTGGTGTTGAAATGGCAGGGTGGTGGCAAACCAGGGAGTAAGATGGCAGTTTTAGAAGAGTGAGATAAGTAAAAAAGCATCAGTAAGATGAAGATAGAGGGGGTATTTAAAGTCAAAGGGGACTGAATTAGTCTTGAGTTGTAGAAATAGAACAGAGATGAAAGGAAAGAAAAACCTATCTTCTGTTTGGGAAAGAAGGTGATGTTCTAGGCAAGACAGG